GAATAATTGCGCATGTATGGGGCACTATAACAACGCGCATATAATCTGCATATGCATCTCTAACTAGAAAACACATACATAAGTAATATTATGGAGCGTAGCGCTTATCACGCTGCGCTTACCATGCAACGCTTACACGGAATGGGGAGTGTTTCCAACGCTTTGCTAAGACAAGATGGTGGTGACACCTACCCGTCGCCCCTCGTTCTACAGCTTATCACCTCTTAGACGGGTGCGCACGGCCACGAGCTTTGGTTTCCAAAAGAAACTGCCAGATGGCACTCATGTCTTACGTATGACGTGATTTGATGTGCTCCGCTGCACGCTCGAGACACTAACGCAGCGCCTCCGAAATACCATTTATTAATTTTCTTGCGCAGAACATAAAATAAATGTTTTGTTCACTCTCTCCACGCGCAAGACTATCGTCTTTTGACGACATTTGCAGACTACATGCTGATACGGGGTCAATTTTTCTTTCATTTTCTTGTTTCCTTAAAAGAGCGTTTCTTTTGGACGTGCCGTCTCTTGTTCTTGCTCCCCAGCCTGGTGGCCGGCGGACCTGGAGGTCTTCCACATGTTGCTGAAACCCTCGGTATCTTCAAAACGACGCCAACACATCAATTTAAGGAGTCACTATGTGACCCCCTGAACCTTAGGCGAAGATCTCCCGGCTACCGACTGACCCACGGTACGGCTACTCCGACGACAGAAGTGTCTCCGCTCGCAGCTGTATGTCAACGCCCAAGAAGTGGAAGGTCTCTTATGGGAACAAGAGCTGTCATCGTCACAGGTCAGCGTATTAATCGACAGATGAAGGCCATGTACGATCAGTTACAGAAGATCGATGACAGCATCCTAGAGGAGACGCCTGACAAGCTTATCGAGACAGAAATGATAGACGCGAGCAGTCACGGGTCAAGGTTGTCAGGCTGTCGTCAAAGCTTCGCTTTGCTATTCAGAACGACCATGTGTCCCAAGTCTCGCGCCCAACGACAATTCAAGCTTTCGTCGGAGTCTGGTAGTGAATGCCACCACTATAACTGCAGAAGTTTGATGGCAGTCGGCAGCAATGGCATTATACTTGGATGCAGTTCTCGATGACAGTGCATAATGATGAGGACCTCAGGGCGGCCGACAAGTTTAACTACTTGAGCACGCTTGTCACTGGACCTGTCACTGCCGCCATATCCGGACTTCAAGCCTCGGGTGAGTGCTATAAAGATCACTGGTCATCCCAAAGAGACGCTTCGGAGACGACAGGACTATGGTACAACAACATCTTCGAAGCCTTTTAGATCTCCAGCCGGTCTTCTCAACTTCTAGCACCACCAAACTTTGAGGGCTCTATGATGAAGTTCTCGTCCATGTAAGGAGTCTCAAAGCGCTTGAAACAAGCCTTTTCACCTACTTTTCCATGTTACGAGAGATTCTTTTACGCGTCATGCGATCAGACATGGTGCTGAAACTTCATGAGAGCCACAAGCTGACAATATCGATGGCTGCGCTATCGACAATGGAAGCGCAAGAAGACCCAGAGAACAGAACAACCAATATCGAGAAGGAGCTTCAAAATACTCTAGACTTTCTGGTCAGGTTCATTGCCGAGAAACTCTGGCGATGTATAAATCCTAAAAAAAGACCGGAAATCCGTTAAAAGTCTGGTGAGATTTCAAAAAGAGCTGGGCGTCCTACCACTTCATCAATATCAATATTGCGAGCGGGGGCCTGCCATCGTCTTCATTTTCTACGATACGGTCAGATGCGTGCGATCTAATGGTGATGGTGATGTCGTTTCTTCTGGTAAATGACAAGCAAGCGCCAAGGTTGGATTCTTTCAAGCATCTGGCTTGGAAACCACCTTTGTCAACCGATACAGCAGGGGCACCGGCCCTACTAAAGCATCACTTCGACAGACTGCCACTGGGGCGTGTCACCACTGCCGACATGAGCTTACCTCGCCTTTTCGCGCAGGTTAGTTACCGAAACCCTGAATCTTGCTATCTATGTTCAAATCGATCTTTGATAGCGGTGTCGTGCCCCGACTGCCTATTTCAGTTTTTGAAGAAGTGGATGTGTTTGCGCGCACTTTGCTTTCACGTCTTTGATATATATCTCTTACTGTTCTCGGGTTACGTGGAACTAAACCCTGGCCCTGGTCCGGCTACAAGAAGTAAAAGTGATAGTGCTAGTCTAGAAGAGATTTATGAAATTGTGAGCAGGCTAGAGCAGGCCAAGACGCGTTTTTTCGCCGAATTAGAAGACGTGAGGAAACAGCAGTCTGCTTTTGCTGCTTCTTTTCAGTAACTGCCGAGTGCCGTTGCTGCTCTTCAGAGCAACTTTTTTACAGGTAAAGAAAGCTTATCTGAAAATCGACAGAAACTAGTTGAAGTCGAAACGTCTCTCGAAGATAGTGGCAACAGGTCTCGCAGGAACAACCTGATAGTGTTTGGGCTGCCTGACAACGCAAATGAAAGCTGGAAGAAATCTGAGGAAAATGCAATAGCGTTTCTCAAGGAAGCGCTTGATCAGACTGTCACAACACAAGATATTGAGCGTGCTCACAGATTAGGAAAGCACTGTGAGAGAAGGAACTGACCGATAACCATCTCATTTTCTAGATTTAAAGTTAAGGAACAAATTTTGTATTCCCGATCAAAGCTGAAGGATAAGACCTATGTAATTCGCGAGGATTTCGCTCCTACTAGACGGGCGAGCTTTAAGGTGACTCAATATGCTGAAGGTCTGAAACTCCCGTTCAAGCTGCGGTTATATAAGCTTTATATAGGAAATAAAACTTTCGTCTATAGCGCTGAAGAAGATAGGGTGACGGAACTCAAGAGATAGCTACATGGCAAGCAATTCGCGAATCAAAAAGCCGCAAGTGCGAACTCTAAACTTCTCGCAACTTATCTCTAACTACACTGCTGGTAAACTGCTGCAGCCTCAAAAATAAAGTGGATGAATTCGCTACTTTGTTGTCTACTACGCAACCTTCCATAGTTATTGGAACTGAATCTTGGTTACATGAATCCATTGCTAACTTTGAAGTATTTACTCCTGGTTACTATGTATACCGATCTGATAGGAATACACAAGGTGGTGGTGTTTTTATACTTATCAATGAACTTCTTCAAAGTAGTCAGCAGTCCACTACTTTTCATCATTCAGAATCCATTTGGTGCAAGGTCCGACTTAAAAATAGAACTTGCTTTGCAGTAGGTTCCTTCTACCAATCCCCTAGTTCGACTAACCCAGAATCATTCGATGAGTTATCTCAATTTTTAAATACAATAAACTGCGACTTTATTCTTAGAGGAGACTTCAATATGCCTCTCGTTGCCTGGAATAATAGTAAACATGTGTTGTCCGACTCGAGTTCACTATCTTCTTCTTTCTTAGAGCTTGTCACTACAAATGATCTGACTCGATTCGTAACCGAGTGCACAAGACAAGGTCACTCTTCCGCCAGCATGCTGGATTTAATTTTCGCTAACTCTGAGTCGGTGCTACATGATGTGGTTGGCATCCCAAGTATTAGTGATCATGACTGTGTCGTCGCCACTTACACTAACACATCATTGAGATCAGTCCAAAAACAACCTCGAAAAGTTTATTTTTAGGAGCGAGGTGATTATGCGTCATTGTCTCAAAAACTTTGTCTTTTCTACCCTAAATTCTGTGAAATGACCGAGTCAATCAACATTGATGAATTTTGGTCTGTTTTTCGTGATACATTGATGAATTTAGTTGAAGAATACATCCCTTCTAAACTCGTAACAAGTCGACGCCACAACGACAAGCCAAGGGTAAACAAGGAGATACGAGCTTTAATTAGCAGGAAATGCCACCTCTACGCTGCATATTTAAAAAATCACCAACAGAGTGTCTCTGAAGCAATGCGTGACATAGGCTAAAAAATAAAACATTTGTTTAAAGTAAATAGGGATAAATACATTCTTTCGCTCGATGTAGCTCATAAAAATAATCCTAAAGAATTTCGGAAATTTATTAAAGCGAACAGTAATGAGGTGAACGTGATACCAAATCTTTTGGTAAAAGAAGGAGCAGTCTTTGACGATGAAAAAAAGGCTTGTTCTTTTAACTTTAATTTTAAATCCGTGTTTTCCAACGCGTGCGCTAATCAACATCCTTTAATTCCAGATTTACTCTACGAGAAAATGCCCATGGTCACTGTCACGTACAATGGTGTTTCTAAGATCCTTAGTAATCTGAAAAACAATTCAGCTGGAGGTCCTGATGGCATACCAACCAAGGTAATCAAAGCATGTCCTCAGGAAATTGCTAATTTCTTAATCGTCTTGTTCAATGAATCTCTACAGAGTAGTTCTGTACCAACTCAATGGAAAACAGCAGGACTTGTTCCCATTCATAAAAGTGGTCCCAAACATTTTATTAAAAACTATAGACCGCTTTCGCTAACTTTTGTATGTTGTAAAACTTTAGAACATATCATTTACAGCTCTGTGATGAAACACCTCGAAAGCAATGGTTTGTTTTCACCTGGTCAACATGGGTTCAGGTGTGGCTTGTCTTGCACAACGCAGTTGGTTTATCGATTATCGTGCCACGCAGAGATTATGGTGGCACGAGCACCTGCCCAGACCTAGCTGGCATGCGCCACGCCTTCTGGCCTTAGAAGAAAAAAAAACGAGTTGTTTTCATGTTTCTTTGGAGTTAGGCGGACTCGCAGTTTTTTCTACACATATTTTAACTTGGGCCATAAGTTCGCCCAAATAGATAAACTTGTCTGATAAGCCTGTGTGCTTCAGTATCACCACAACATCATCACCACAACGTAAGGAAGAAGACTTCTATTTTGCTCAAGTGCGCAATGAACATGCGAGAGCTGGCTATTCTAAAAGCTATCCTGCCTTTCTTAGGCCCAGCGACCACGGTGGCATACGAAAATCTGCCCCCGCCCCCCCTTCTTGTGGTTCGCACTTGATCATTGCACAGTACCGATGTACACCACTCACCAAGAGCTGATCCTTGAAGCCCGCTGTCTGCTTCATGGCTGCCACGTATCGTTCCAAGTCCTCGGTCTGCACCACGTGCTGCTTTTCTGACCCAGGCGGCGTCTCGTACTTATGGATCACCAATGTCACTGAGCTGTTGTTGTTGTCGCCTTCGTCTCCAGGTGTTACCGTTGCGTCTCCAGAGCGTGCGGCCACACCTGCATACGCCGAGTGTCGGAGATGGCTGGCACAGGCAGTTTTAAATGCGAAGAATTTTTCGCGTACTACAAGCACTTTCGACATACATCCATCCATCCATCCATCCATACACACACACATACACACACACACACATCCATCCATCCATCCATCCATCCATCCACCCATCCACACACACCCACCCATCCACACACACCCACCCACCCACCCACCCACCCACACGTACGTACGTACGTACATACGTACGTACATACGTACATACATACGTACATACATACATACATACATACATACATACTACATACATACATACATACATACATACATACATACATACATACATACATACTACATACATACATACATACATACATACATACATACATACATACATACATACATACATACATACATACATACATACATACATACATACATACATACATACATACATACATACATACATACATACATACATACATACATACATACATACATACATACATACATACATACATACATACATACATACATACATACATACATACATACATACATACATTACATACATACATACATACATACATACATACATACATACATACTACATACATACATACATACATACATACAACATACATACATAACATACATACATACATACATACATACATACATACATCATACATACATACATACCTACATACATACATACATACATACATACATACATACATACATACATACATACATACATACATACATACATCTCCATCATCCATACATACATCCTCCATACATCCATCCATCCATCCATACATCCATCCATCCATCCATCCATCCATCCTCCATCCATCCTCCATCCATCCATCCATCCCATCCATCCATCCATCCATCCATCCATCCATCCATCCATCCAATCCATCCATCCATCCATCCATCCATCCATCCATCCATCCATCCATCCATCCATCCATCCATCCATCCATCCATCCATCCATCCATCCATCCATCCATCCATCCATCCATCCATCCATCCATCCATCCATCCATCCATCCATCCATCCATCCATCCATCCATCCATCCATCCATCCATCCATCCATCCATTAAGCACAATATATTATCAGACACAGAGCACGGATTCAGAAAATGATTTTCTACCTCGGTAACTACAGTGCATAATTTCGCACAACCTAGAAATTTCGTAAAACAAGTAGATGCAATTTTTATAGATTTTTCAAAATACGGTCTCTCAAAATAAGTTGTTGTTTAAATTGGATTTAATTCTTAAGAATACTCAACTTCTAAATTCAATTTCCGCATGTCTTTCAAATCTGAAACAATACGTCTTCTTCAAGGATCATTGTTTCCGAACAGTAGGAGTTGATTCAGGTGTCCCGCAAGGGTCATTGTTCAGGCAACCCCCATTTCTGCTATTTATCAACGATATTTCACATTGTATACCGGTAACTGTCAAGTTATATGCTGATGACTACATTCTGTACACAGAGATAGACAAATCCATTTGAACGATGCATTTAATAAGGCCGTTCGTCGGTGCAAAAAATGGCAGATGTCAGCTTATTTTAAGAAAAGATAGTTTTTATGAAAATTTCTCACACACTTAACCCTCTTCATTTTACATATTCAGCGAATAATATTTTCTTGGAGGAGGTACAACAATACAACCTTGGTATTTCAATTTCGCATGTCCTAAACTATGAAAGACATATAAAAAACTTCAATACGCACGTGCAACTACAAACTTATCTTAAACGAGCTCTCAAGCTTTCCATTCCCGCCACTGCATTCAAGGCAATTGTTCAACCCACTCTAGATTATGCATCACTAATTTTGTTCCCTTACACTAAAGTCTATACCAAATAAATGGAAAAACTCATAAGAGAGCTGTTAGATTTATTTACAGCAGTTTCGGCCGTACTTCAATAACAAGTTTATTAGCAAGAGCCAACCCTTCAGCTCCAACACAGATAAACACTGTATTGAGATTGAATTTTTTGTTTCAGTAGGTTAAAGGTCACCTTAAGGTGGCTTATCACGAATACTTCATTTTTCGACTGGATATGCAACAAGGCAGAAGCATGCGTTGATATTGACTCCATTCACCACACGTAAAAGCACATTAAAAATATTCGTTTTACCCTAGGATGATTGCCGAATCGAATAACCTTAATAACGATGTTGTTTCGCAGTCATTTTTTAATCTTTTTACTACGCAGCTACAACAGCTCTGTGTGTTCTATTACACGAAGTAGTGCAGTGAATTTCGATCACTGCAGTGTTTATGCTACGCTGCTGGTCATCCTGAATACACTGCTGGTTTATTTTGTTGGATGCCCTTGTGCCTGTTTATTGAAAACGGTTAAGTTTCTGTCTTATTTTTTGTCTTCTCAAATCCTGTACATACTTCGTCCTATCTTTATTCTGCTGCCAATTCGAAACTTTACAATTGTATACCCACTCTGCTGAAACCCTCTGTGAGGGTTGCATTATCGATATATAAAAATAAATAAAGCGGCGATAGCAGCGTGCCTGCCGGGCTGCCAAGCCGATTCCTTCGAGACTATAAGTTCCCGATGGGCGTAGCAATTTACGCTGACGACATCGCACTTCATATATACCCAGGAACGACGAGAACGCACATGGGTAATTTTAATGCCTGAGCGTAAGGGAAAAGCTGATGTCAGCTGCGTTGATCCAATGAATTTACAGAAACGTTGTAGGGTCGCAGCAGGAATAGAACTCAAGCATTCTGCATGGCGATTGAGTAATCGTCATCAGAGCCACGCCAGGTCTCGTAACTGTGTTTCAAATAGACTATAATGTTCAATAGACTGAATGGCAGCGAGTGTGTGAAGCTATAGGTCTTAAGGTTCAAAATTGTTACGTTGAAGTCATCGACTAGTATAAGGGACGGACACACGGACGGACAGGTAGACTTAGTCACTAATGATAGGACACACGGGTACATGGATGGATGTGCAGATAGATGAACAGACAGATGGGTGGAGGGGCAGATGGATAGATGGATAGATCGATAGACGAACAGATGCATGGACGGACAGACAGTCGTGAAATCAGAACTGCTTTTCAAGTAGACCATATCTGCGCAAAACTCAAACTGTGGTAACAGTGCTGGCTATACAATCTTATAAATACGCACTCCTATCACACAGGCGTCACGTGAGCGTAACGACAATTGTAGTGAAGAGCCATCCGCTCATTTAAGAAGCAGGGCCGCCATCCTCACTGGTGCAAGCGCTACATATCAGCTTACCTCTTTAATGTTTGACCATGTTGCTGTTGGCATCGTCGCACAATAGTAAACATGCTACTCTTAACCATACGTCTGTGCGTATAACATTTGCACACATCTTGAGCGTCATTTCATAACATTTCGCCCAATAAAAACGTTACAACACAGTCACCTTCCCTGCGCATGCTTCGCATAACATAGATTGCCAAGGTACATGGGATCTGCCTAATTTTTTATTTGGTAGAGAGGGAGCGCAAAACACCAGCTTGGAATCGCACATATCTCTAGTTCATTAAGAATGAACGCGTATAAGATGGAAAAACCGGAAATCGTGCAAGGCGTGCCGGTGCCGCTTGAGCGAAGTATGAAAGCTGCATCGAGGAATCAAAGAACTTAGGAGCTGCTCTAACGTCGCTCTCTGTGAAGTTTACGTGCAGAGTACTGGACGGTTTCTCATCTCTCGTTGGCATGAGAACGGCGGAGTATAGAGAGGAAGTCATATTGCATTAACGAGTGAGAAAAAACCATGAGGGCGGCGTGGTGCACGTGCCATAGCGATCATAAATAAGCGGTGCTAAACACACTTGGCGACTGCGATACCAATAGCAAATCATTTTCTGCGGGTATTTTCTGCTCTTGCACTGAAAGAATGCTATATGAACATTTAAAGTTGGACCATAAGACAGAGATGCACCTGGAGGAAAGGGAGGTTGTGAAAGGGTTCTCAATCCCCCACCCCTCAAAAGCTTTGCACGATTTAATTCAGAACAGCAGTCGAAAGATTCGCACGGACAACCGATCAAGACGAGATACCTCCCTCATCTCTGCCGGCACACGCCTAGAAAATGAGGGCATGACGTGCGCGTATTAACGGCCGTGCGTACACGGCAATGCAGTCACGTTGGTCTTCTACGTAATCGACTATGCTCTGATGTGGCAGACAGTGGCACATGATACTGAGAAATTTTTAGGGGCGAAGCACCTTATAGCGGCACCCGTTCGTCCCTCGCAGCCGTTGTATTATGTAACAAGTATGAAATTTTGACCTCCAAGGTGGTGCCGGTGAGAAATTTCTTCTGTGCGTTGTTGAACAATAAAAAATAGGGCTCAATGTACATGCCAACGGCTGCCAACGGGGAAGGAGAGACAGGAGCATTTGGCTTCCAGTTAACGCCCACGCTGCGATCCCCATTAGCAGCTATTGGCATGTACATTGAGCACTATCTGACAAAAAAGGGTTGCTACGTTATACTCGCTGGGTGTAACCTCCGTAGTTTTAGAAAGGTTTAGCGTGCGTTGAGCCGCAGTGCCATGAATACAATGAACTAGTATACATTATGAACCCGAGGTGGTTAAAGGTGGGAAGTAGATACGAAGCGCAAGCCGTAAGAAAGTAAAATCCGAATTCTCCTGTCTCTCATTTCCCATTAGCAGCCATTGGCATGTACATTGAGCCCTATCTGACAGGAAAAGGTTGCTACGTTATACTCGCTGGGCGTGACTTCCTTGGTTTTAGAAAGTTTTAGCGAGCGTTGGGCCGCAGTGCCATGAATACAGTGAACTCGAGGCGCTAAAAGGTGGGAAGTAGAAACGAAGCGCAAGCCGTAAGAAAGTGTGCTTGTGCTACCTCTCGTTGAGTCCTTGGAATGTGCGCTGCATGGCGGTGCTTCTATATGGGGAATATATGATTAAAATATGCGAGATGGTGGTACTTGGAGTG